ACTATATCATATTCTTTTGGTGGGCGTGCCGATGAAGCAAACGTCAGCTCAACTCATATTATTGTGGGAAAATTGTACTACTAGTCCTTCATCACCCTACACGAAATAGGGTGAATACATCTCATTACAATGATTATGCATACAATGGACTCCGGTCAATATGACCAAGTTGGGAAAATAAGGTCAAACAACCTCTATACAATGAAAGAAGACTGAGACCACACCATCTTGGTCTTCATACCTTCGAATAAAAGATATTTTTTGTCGAAGCTAGTCCCAGAATTCTCGGAATATTTTCTTTAAATTGACACGCAGACGCGATGGTGCATCAGCCACTTCCCCAGCTTTAATTAGGCAGCTATTTGATCAAGAGCATACCATGAGACCGTGACATTAATGGGCCCCTGGACAAGGCATTTACTAGCACAGATCAGACTCCTTATTTGAGCGTTTATTGAAATGGCATTGTCCAGACAGCTTTTCAAATGTAGGAATCGACTTAACTAGTCGCCAGAGGGACTATTCAATCTCAAATGTATAGACCAAAAGGTACTAGAACCGCTTTCTGCCCAACAGATCATCTGTCAAATCTTGACTTTATCTTCGTTTTACCATACTTTTCTCTTGGCTTCTATCTGTGCTAACCAGCCGATCAGTCTAGTGCTACCATTTGTTGCGACAATTCTTATTCTAAGCTTAACAGCAAAAGTAAACTAAGCCATATCGTTTGATTGATACACTCCTGAGTCGGCATTTAACTGTCCCGAAAGTGGTTTGTTCACTGGCTCTTGGGCGTCGATGCACTAGTTGGCTTCTGGATGTTCACTTAAATGTCTGTCGAACAGCTGTATCTAAATTTGGAGCGAGAGAGAAGTCCACCTACAACTCTCTGACAGGGACACATCACTCTCTCCTTAGACATGACCAAGAAGATGAAGTGGGCGAATTGTGCTCTAATGGCAACCGTCCGGGAGGAAATGAAGGTTGAGCCTTTCGACCTACAGTGAACATAGATTCATTTGGTCAAGCAAAATTAAAAAGATGACCTTGACTCATTGAATAATGTATCCCCAAAGCGTGTTATGTAAAACCCTCGTCTCTGCTGCCATTGTGAATGGTTAAACTACTCAGTAATCTCCAACATCCAGCC